TGGCAGCGAGGTCATGGAAAGAGGAGTAGAACAAAATGGCCTTAAGGACAGAGAACATTAGAGATGAAACTGCCCTAAAGCCATTTTAAAACATTCCTTCTCTTCTCTTTCCTGCCTCAAATTTCCAAATATACATATTTTCAAGTGCAAATAAATATGCCTGCCTTTGTTATCTTTAAAAAGCCTTTCAAACACAGCCAATCTCAAAGGAATACTGAGCTCTGAGGTTGTCAGAGTTACATTCTTTGTAGTTTTTCACTTTCCTATCAGAATTGACTAACAAAGAAAAGTTACATGGAATTTTTATAAAACTCGGGTAACTTTCCCCCTTAAATGCTATGTACAATTTTCATGTTTCATCCTTCAATAAAAATCAATATTATACTATAAGATATAGTATCTATATGGTTACTAGATGACTTCACATACAGATACACATAACAGGAAGTTACATTTTCCTTTGCTCATATTAGTATCCTGTTGAGAATCTTCAAGATATTATCTCTCTCAGCCTTTGGCACAAACACAGGAAAGTGAAACAAGAAAGAATATCAAATAAAATTAATTTAGGAAGTGTAATCAAAAGTATTCCATACTGTAAATCTTTGTAAAATAATTGACTATCAGATAAAATGTAGTTAAACGTTGATTTTCCTTAGTATTTCTTAAAGAGAAGGCTAATGAAATGAAATCAGAAAACTGAAATATCAAAGGTAGAAACTGCTTTCAAGGGCATCTGGTTCCACCACGAAGTAAAGACATGCTTCACTGCTCTATTTTTTAAATTTTTAGCAGCTACGCATACACTACGTCTGGTACTGAAGACCAAAGAAACAAAAATGAAAATAGAGATTTTCTTCTCAAGTGGCATTTTAAATTTAAGTAAATGGAGTATTAAAGGTAATATTAGGATAACTAATGTGAAAAATTCTGGTATGAGTGTTTTGTTTTTATTTAATTCTCAGAGATCTCTTGGGAATGCCCCAATACACAAATAGCAGAAATCCAGTTGATTAAGTATTAGACAATCAGGTATTAGGTAACCTATGTGATTAAATGCAATTCACTTCTCCGAGTCTCCCCACATTACAAATGTGGAGACAACACTGCCTACTCTACATACTTCCCAGAATTGTTGTTGAAAGGTAGCAAAACATTTTACAATAATTTGAAAACAGCTAAGCAATATAAACTTAAAGCATTTAAAAATATTCTTTCACAAACTGCCCTACTGCCCTAGATAGTAATTTTAATCAGCCACAGGTAAACTCTCTATATTCTGCCTGTCATTTCTCACTGTCAGGAAAAGGACCGTAGTGATAGATTGGATAACAGCCCTCCCAAAGATATCTGTGCCCTAACCACCAGAACGTGTAGCGGGTCACCTTACATAGCAAAGGGACTTTGTAGGTGATTAAGTTAAGGATCTTGAAATGGGGAGATTATCTTGGATTATCCTGGTGGGACCAATGTAATCACAGTGTCCTTGTAAGGAGAATGCAAGAGGGTCAGAGTAAGAGAAGAAGTGACAGTGTGTGGCAGGGGAGGGGGAAGAGATGCTGCTCTGCTGGCTTTGCAGATGGAAGATAGAGTCACAAAGCAAGGAATGCAGGCAGCTTCTAGAAGCTAGAACAGGCAAAGGAATGAATTGTCTTCTCAAATCTCCAGAAAGAACGCACCCTTGCTAACACCTTGATTTTAACTTTTTGCCCTCTGTAACTATAAATAACAAATTTGAGTGGTTTTAAACCACTAAGTTTTTGGTAAATAGGTAACTAATACAATCATGAAAACACAGCCAACTATTATCCTACTACTACTGATAGTCAGGGTTTTTTCTGAGAGCACATGGGTTGTAAAGTAATAGCTTTGACCAGTTTCTGAATGTGTTACCCAGCAGCATGTCGCCCAGATTGGTGAGTCATTTAACGGTTGTCCTCCGCTGTCATGGGTAATTGAGCACCAACTGTTTAAGAAGAGTTAACTGGCAACCTGTAGAGATGACCTAGTCCTGATTCTTTCCCAGTGAAGGTATTGAATCATTCTAGATCTAATATGCATTCCTTTAAAATTTCCTAGGAAAAGAAAAGTCTTGTACTCCCACTGGTAGAAATGCTTCTCATTCCAAAACACTTGGAATTAAAATGTTAGCTGAAACCTAGAACTCCTTCAGCTATATATTTTTTTCTTATTCTGTCCTTAGTAGACACGGAAATTAAGAAATGATACTTGTCTCTATCAGGTAGGTTCTTCTTTTCTTAGTTAAATGACTACATTTCCACATTCTTTAGTATTTTCTCAGATGTTTTCTAAACCTTTACCCATTTTGAATGTTATATTCTACCTCATATTCTGTCTTCCTATGGCTTAAAAGTTGGAGCCAAAAACATGCTGGACAAACTATATTAATCTTTAGTAATAGTGATACAATATTTTTAAAAGTTGGCTGTAATCTAATAAATAAGATCAGGCATAGAGGAAGGAGTTCCAATTTAAACTCTCTTCTGGCACTCGCTATGTGACCTTGGGCAAATCACATAACTTCTCTGGGTCTGAATGACATCATTTATAAAATAAGGAGATTGGACTAAATACTCAGAAACATCCTGAAGTGTCATAGAGAGGCACAGTCTTTTGGTAATTCTAATGAAAAAAAAAAAATCACCCCTGGCTGGAACAGTTGGTAAGCACCACCCATTAGCTACTCCACAAAGATAATATTAGGGGCATAAGGCTTGTTATACCCCTAGCAACCCATGATTCCAGAGGTAGCAAGGTTCAGTGCGGGAAAAGGTTCTCAGGCACACTGAGTAGCACAGATTTCTGGAGGCTGACGGTTGAGGATGGGTGGGGCAGAAAGCACAGGAGACCCAAGGGAGGGCCTGGAACACAAAGACAGTGCAGAGTCCCTGAAGGTTTCTGAAATGTACTCATGACCTCTGCAGACTATTAGCGGAGTCCACTGCGCACTGGCTGGTGTGGCTCAGTGGGTTGAGTGCCGGCCTGCAAACTGAAAAATCTCTGGTGTGATTCCCGGTCATGGCACATGCCTGGATTGTGGGCAGGTCCCTTGTTGAGAGTGTGTGAGAGGCAACCGATTGATCAATGTTTCTCTCACACATCAATGTTTCTCTCCCTCCCTTTCTCCCTCCCTTCCCCTTGCTCCAAAAAAAAAATAAAATGTTTTCTTAATAAAAGATCCACTGGCATGAGAATGGTACCCTACAGTGGCCCTTAGCAAGCTGTCTTATCCATGGTTCTATTCCCAGTGTCCAGGCACAATAACTGATAATAATAGTCACTTATAATACATGTGTTATACGACTGAGGGAATCCATCCCAACTAGCCTTCCTCATCTTGACTTTTCTCTAAAGGCTATTTCCTGTTGGTGACATACACATTTTAGCATATGCAAATGACACCCGTTGGAGTTATGAGAACAGCAGCCCTGCCTCCTGTGGAGAAGATTTCAGGGAACAATAGGACTGGAGTTTTCTAGGCAAGAGATAATGAAAGCCTAAACTAGTGATGGGGTGGTGGGGGTTGGGAAGGAGAAACTGATGCCAGCATCGTTTATTTTAGGGTGGCATAGGAACTATACTGAAATACTATTGGCTAGCCAAAGTAAAATCTTACTTGATTTCTTTCCTATTTTTCTTTACAGTAATTGATAATAATTTGTTACATAAAATTGAAAGGCTTATCATTTATCTCCCATTAAGCACAAGTTAACTGTTACTGTAAACCTCACACTTCTGTCAAAAATGTATATTGACCCCATTTTCCTATTTTAGGATCTAGTACTTCAGTCAAAAATAAACTATCAGCAGCAATATTTTAAGGAATCAGAGAAAGACAACAAGAAGTCCCAAGGAACTGTCATTTTTTTAAAAACATGCCACACACACAAACTTATAAGCTTCTTCCTGAGTCCTGTGTCACAGAAACATTTGCTGCAGTTGCAATGACTGTCTTTCTTTTGATAAAATGTTTTCCAAACGTAGTTTAAATGATGAAGAGAACTAGTGTGAAGCAAAAGTAAATTTGATTACTGAATCAAGCATGTGATTCAAATAGAGTATTTTGAAGCTATCCTCCTTCTATTAATATTCAAGATTCTATTGGATTTCTTTTCTACAAGAGAAATTTTTTTTTAAAAAAAAGAAAAACCTACAACTACAATCTTATTGGAATTTGATATCATATACATAAATAAATAAAATCCTTCCAATTTGAAACTTACCAAATGATTAGTATTTACAGAAACTGATCAAAAAGTTATTAAGGAGCATGGAACAAATTTTGCTTGAAACCAAACATAAAAATGAAAGTAGCTAGCTAAAAAAAAACCACACTAGATTTATATTTTACATTTATGTGTATAACCTTGGGGGTTAAACACATTGCTAGCTATTTTTTAATAAACACATGAGCTGTCACTTTAATAACACACTGACAATTATTATCTTTAAGCCGATGTTCCCTGAAAATCATTGGTGAAATACCTATGTTATTTAATACTTAAGAATAGAAACCTATCCCATTTATTTTTAAAAAGTATTATAATAACTGGCAAAATATTATAGAAAGTGACATGAACATATATGTACAATAAAAATAAAAATGTGCCAAAATTCATAGAACATTTCAATACATAGCAGAACTTTATACACAATCTTAATAATGCATCTCAGTTGCTCATTGTTAAAAAAGGTTGTTTGGCCCATTGAAGCTATATAAGAAAAATATACATATTCAAGATAAAATACAATAAAAACAAATAAACCAAATACCTGATTCTTCAATACTCATTATTTCTCAACTGGAAGCAAACATCAAATGAGTAACATAAAAACTCAAATTAGCTAATTAATCTGAGTACACATGCCATAAGTGTGTAGTGTAAGTAATAATATAATAACCCTTTGTAATTCATTGGTTACAGTATTCTATAAATGCTACTTTACTTTCAAATACTAAAAATTTAAAAAAATAATACCTCTTCCACAAAGCTGTCTTTCTTCTCTAGCATTTCTCGTAAAGTCTGAAGAATTTTAATGCACAGTTTTTCTTCTTTCTCCATTAGTTTCTTTGTATGATTAATCAACCTTAAAGCAAAACATTAAACCTTAAATACAACACTGATTTTTCTTCAAGTCATATACTACCATCATATGCTAGAGGGAAATAAATCACACTATTATCTGAGAATATGAAGTAAACAAGATAGATGCCTGTTTTCAAAAAATTTTAATTACACTTAAACTACAGAATTTGTATTATAAAGTATTCTTTATATTACAGGCAGGATATCTCAGTGCTTCTAAATTTATTTGGGTATGACATTTTTAGTGGGACACAATACTCTTTGAAAAACAATGAGACACTGATTATCTTTAATCCCATCATATGAACTAAAACAAAGCAGAGAACTATATTTGCAGTATATTACATTTTATTATATTACGTTTTGCTATATTATTTTCGATGTATTATATTCCATTAGTTATATGGTGGAAGGAGCAGTATACAACACTGCAACCTTAGCATAATGGGCTGCTTTCCAGTTTCCACTAATAACAATGTACTGTTTTTCAGTGCCAGAGCTGGATAAAAACAAGCAGTTCTTGTGATTAGAAGGAAAACAAAAATAAAAATAACAAAAAGTAACATTAAAACATCTATCCATTTACTATTTTTGCTATAGTTTGAACAAAACTCAAATTAAATAATTTTATGTTGGCAACCTTCACCCTGGTGTTTTGTCAGGAGAAAAGTTTGAGGATTACAGTTACAAAGCATCCCCAATAGCTCAAAATCAAATAAAATGTTCATCATCAGAATTGATAGTTTAGCTTAGCATACATAGCTCTTAAAAATCTGATTTGTAAAATGACCCTATAAGATATGTCTTCCTCAAAAAAAAAAAAACATGATATAGAATATAATGGAATTACTTGATTTCAGTGACGTAACAGGAGTACTGCGGGAAAAGTGAAATTTCACTAGATAATGGCTAGGAAGTGGCTTATCAGGTGCCAGAGTGCTATATAGAGACTTCTCATGGATTCACTTAATTCATCCTTACAATAAGCCAATGCTGCAGGTTATATTACCAAATTTTACTAATGAGAAAACTGGGGTCCGGAGAGAAAAAGCAAGTTGCCTCTGGTTACACAATTACTAAATGGTGGCACCTGGAAATAGTCCCAGATCCATCTGACTTCAGAGCCAAGACTCTGTGGCACCACTCTGGTGACAGGGCACAGCTCGCTGATCTCTTGAGTCTCAGAGGAACTGTGAAGCCCGTCCTGACTCCGCTGGGTCGCGCACAGGCCCCTCTTACACCACATGATGCTAGAGCAGAGGCACTGGCAATGCCATAAACCAGACAAAGCAGCTACCACATTCTGCTGGAGGAGTTGCCCAGGGCTGACAGAGAAGGCTCCACTGAAGAAATGATATTTAACGATGAAGGTTTCACCTGGCAGGAAGAGTGGAGAGAGAGAAGGGAACAGTATGGGCAAAGGGCAGAGGCAGCAAACTGCCACTCACGTTCAGGAAACGATGGTACTCAGGTGGGCAGCTGGCACTAATGTCATGGAAGAGGCAAGTAAGAGATCTGGTCTGAAAAGAAGGAACCAGGAATATTATGCTGATGGGTCTGGAGTTTACTCTATAAAAAATAGGGAACCACTGTTTTAAAAGACGCGAATGACCCTGCCAGAATGATGTGACAAAAAGCACATCAATGGCAGTGGGAGAGATGATGTGGAAGAACGGGAACAAGACAAGAGATGAAGAGTGCGTGTGATGGGGTAAGGATTCAAGAAGCAGTATAGCAATAAAATAGTCAGGTCTTCACAGCAAAGGAAACCACCAACAAAACAAAAAGGCAACCTAGTGCGTGGGAGAAGATCATTCCAAACAGTATATCCAACAGGGCGTTAATATACCAAATACACAGAGTTCATACAACACAACATTTTAAAAAATGATTAAAACATGGGAAGCAGAACTGAATAGACTTTTCTCCAAAGAAGACATGTGGATGGGCGAAAGACACATGAAAAGGTCCTCAACACAACAAATCATTAGGGAAATGCATATCAAAACCACTATGAGACACCACCTCACATCTCTCAGAATGGCTATTATGAAAAAGACAATTACAAGTGGTGTTGAGGATGTGGAGAAAAGGGAACCCTCATGCACTGGTGGTGGGACTGTAAATTAATGCTGCCACTAGGGAAAATATTATGCAGTTACCTCAAAAAATTAAAAATAGAACTACCTTATGACCCAGCAATTCCACTTTGGGGCATTTAGCTGAAGAAAATAGAAACACTAATTTGAAAAAATATATGCACTCTAAGTGTTCATTGCAGTATTATATACAATAGCCAAATATCAAAGCAAACTAGGTATGTATCAATAGATGCATGGATAAGGATGTGGGTATACATATATATTTTATATATACATATATATAATATGTGTGTATATCCATGCATGTGTGTATATATATATTTCATTGTGTTTGTGTATATATTTATATATGCATATATAGAATATTGCTCAGTCATGAAAAAGAATGAAGTCTTGCCGTATGCAATGACATGGATGAACCTAGAGGGTATTATGCTAGATGAAATGAGTCAGACAGAAAAAGATAAATAACATATGATTTTACTTATATGTGGAATCTAAAGATCAAAACAAATGAACAAAGAAAACAAAACAGACTCATAGATACAAAGAACAAACTGATGAATGCCAGATGGGAGGGCAGAAGGGGGAAGGGTACAAAAGATGAAAGGTATGAGAGGCACAAACTTCTATTATAATAAGCAAGGCACAGGGATGTAACATGCAGCATAGGACTATAGTCAATAACATCATAAAAACTTTGTATAGTGAGAGATGGCTACTAGACTTGTCCTGGTGATCACTTGGTAAGGTATAGAAATGTTGAATCACAATGTCAGACACCTAAAACTAACATGATACTACATGTCAACTAGATTTAATAATAAATAATAAAATAGCCACGATTGACAAATCATGGCACATGGGAAAAGGAAGACGAGGAGGAAGGGGAGATCCTAGCTGCCTGAAATTTATAGACTGGTTCAATAAATGGGCAACGATACTTTTAAATGATATCTATGTCATGCTGAAGGAGTTAAGAAATAGGGATTTCCTTTCAGACTTGTTAGGTCTGGGCAAGGTGCTATATGTCTATGTAGTCAGGTCTGGCTGGCAGATTAACTGTTCCCCTTGCAAGGAAAAAACCTGCCTCTAAAACTTCTGCTATTGGGTCCTTTCTTTCACATCATAGTCTTTGAATGCATGGAAAGAGTTTTAGCAGGCATGGTAGATTTCTTTTGATTTCTTTTCCTCTTAGGCTATTCATATATTCTTTAACTTCTCTTTAGATAAAACATTTAAGTCACTAAATATTTGAAAATACCTATATATCTGTATCTGTATTTGAATGACTTGCTAGGGATTTCTACAAGGTGTTCATTTATCACATAGTGTTTGGTTGAGTTACATCAATGGCTTTTAAACATTTTTTTTCTATGACCTAAAGTAAAAACAAGTTTCACAAAACAACCCACCATATAAATACGTGTGTGGGTTTGTAAAACTAACCCAAAAGTTACCTTTCCTATATGAGATGTGCTCTGATTATTTTATGTAATTTCCAAATTCATTTCTAAATTAATAATTATCTCTCCTCCCTAAGTTATTATTTGAAAAACACTGAGGTTCTCCTCATAAGGGAAGAGTAAGTGCCTATGTGAATGGACCTTAACCAGGCCCCTCAACGGTTAACACCCACATTGACCTATTCTCTTCTCTCCTTATTCTCTCCCCTCTCATTCTAGTAACTAGGTAGATATGTAAATTCAGGTTCTATCCCCAGATTTATCCCTCACACTTTTCAGCAGACCCATCTGAGTCAACAAGTTCCAGGAATTAAATTCATTTCAGAAAGTTGCAAGCCCTACATAAGCCCTAGATCTAAACTATATTTTCCAACTAAGCTCTACTGGAGAGCACCACATAGTAACGCAGGCCCCTTGCAGAGCTATTAATAAAATTAGATTCTAATTTCAATAGATATCCTTGCAGATGAAACCTTTGGTTCTTCACAGAGTTAGGGAAGGAGTAGGATAATAAGCACTAGAGCAGAAAACAGACATTCCTGAGCCTCTGGCCATAATGCAATCGTAATAGTATGAAAATCTCTTCCCTAACCACTAGAGTAAGTGAGATACCCTTTTCCTGATGTTGCAACAGATTTGCCTCACCTTGAGCACAGGTCAGTATTTCTTGGTATTCAGAGTTATTTTATATCTTCTCAGGACCTTTATCTTTATGTTCTAGAACAGTGCTGTCCAATAGAACTTTCTCTGCAGTAATTGAAATGTTCTGTATCTGTGCTATCAAATTTGTTAGCCACTAATAACATCTGGCTATTGAGCACTTAAAATGTAGCAAATGTGATTCAGGAAGTAATTTTTTTATTTTAATTAATCTTAAGTTTTAATATAAATAGCCATGTATAGCTACTGTATTGATGGACTAACTCGTGACACTGAGTCAGCAAACATTTTTTCTAAAAGGCCAAAGAGTAAATATTTTAGGCTTTGTGGCCATACAGACAAGGCAATTAATTAGTCAGCCCTACGACAGTAGTATGAAATCAGCCACAGACGATACAGAAAAGAATGTGTGTGGCTGTATTTCAATAAAATTTTATTTGCAGAAATAATCAAAGGAACCAGTTTAGCCTATGGGCCAGAGTTTGCCAGCCCATGTTCTATACTGTTAATAGTATCACACTAATTTCCTAGAGTTAAAATTCTCAGGTTTATTACCTACTTTTTAACTCATATTCTAAAAATGGATATATATTCATAGGAGGTGAAGGGCATTTTTCAAGGACCCTATTTTTGTACTAAATTACTAGTCAATACCTCTACATAATTTTTTTTCTAATGGCCTCCAAAGTCATTAGTTTTGCATACACTCTGTACCTTTTCACTTAAAAATTCTTATTAGGATACTGGTTAAGTCTTCTACTACGAATCAGAACAGTAGTTCTGGAGTGCACTATACATTGGCCAAAACTGGCAAGTGTCCAGACAAACACATTCTTCTTAGTCCCCTTAAAATATTGTGGGTCCAGAGCCAACAATCCATGATTCTGCCCATAATGTAGACACTCCGCCTATTCTTCAACATAATCCCTATAGTCTGTTCTTCTCATCCCATATCTTGTTTTCTGCCCCCCAAATCCCAGGTTTAACTGGTAAAAGAAAGAAATGCACTTCTTGTGTTTCCTACTCCTTCACTTTCTGCCTTGGTGCACCACAGCCAATAGAAGAGGTTTGAGGCCTGTTTCAACAATATCCTCAACCACCCAGGAATTAGCTGTCATGGATGGTGGTCAAGGAGGGTGGCAGCCTCGACCAACTCTCCTCCCAGACACTCTCCCCAGGAAGGCCAGGTTCCTCTGGGTGGCCATCCTGAGCCCACATGTGATCACTAGCAAATCACTCGGGGAAGTGCCCTCCACGCTAAAACGTGTCTCTTCTTTCTGAGGCTTGTTCTCCTTTTTCTCACAACTGCTTATACTTGCAGGTCTTCCGTGAAAATTTTCACTCACAATTAAAGTGAAATTGTCTAGGATAAACATATTAGCTATAATAGATCTGACAATACCAGAAAAATGCTGTGAGAAATAAGTAAATGAAACAGCTGCAAAACAACATGGCAGAATCCTGAGTCTGAGACTTAACAGCTCTTTAGCTGAAGCACACACCAGTCTCAGCTTTCTCATCTCTCAAATGAGGCTGACCTCTCAATCTCTCAGTGTTCATGCAGATTAGATAAAATAGGTAAACACACACAGGGCAATACCGAGGCCTCAATAAATGTCAGCGCCATTTGCCTTCTGTGTTAATGAAAATTGGTGACTTTAAACAGGAATCCATTTAAAGGTCATACCATATATGTATAGAAAGACATCAGAACCAAAACATTATTTGATGTGATATTTTGTGCCTAATAATGACACATTTCACATTCAGAAAATTTTAGTAAAATAGGATGACTTTCAATCAAATCAAATTATTTTGGAAGTATATTTTAGATGGATTTTAGACCTTTGACATACTCTGTGGACTGTCACGTGCCAGCAGAATGAAATGCAGAAACGTGAGCAGCCAGCTAAGCTTGGTAACATTAACAGAATCATGGATTGCAGTCACTTACTTGGACATGAAAGCGCCGCATCGGATTCTTGCATCGCTCCCCTCAGGGAACAGTAGCTCTGGACTGTACAGTACATCCACCAACACTGAGAATTCAGCCTGCATCATCGGGCTGAACTGTTGCTCCAAGGAAGCTACTACATCCTAAGGAAAAAGAGCAAAAGAGAACCCATGTGAAGACCTAAGTCAGACTTTACGCTTTGAAGATGTGATGAGCCTAAGAATACTACTCAGGAATGAGATGTAGGGATATCAAGGAGGATGTACCCTGTCTCCTATGGCACTGATGCTTGTGCTTTAAGTAGGGTCTGGTGTTCTATGTCAATTCTGCCTTGGCCTCTTTTGTTATTTATAAGACAAGGGTGGAGTGGGTAGCTTATGTAATTTCTAAGGATATACACATAAGATGAAAAGTCAATAAAACCATCATTACAGGCCTTGCAGTGTCTAGAGTTATAATGGAGACATGACAGGTATTCCAATCAAATTGGAATAAATTGGAGCATGCCTGTGGAAGAGCTAAAAAAAGAAAAAAAAAGAAAAAATGATTCTCTATGTGTCATTGGTAATCCAGAACTAACCATTTCTTCCAATGGGGAAATTCCTTCATATATTATGAAAATAATATACAAATTACATTATGGAAATAATATATAAATTCCTTCTGTCTTACAATAAAGAGTCAATAATATCCCCTAGGCTCCAATCATCAGTGCCTCTTTAATGTCTCTCATGTCCTCTGTCTACATCCAACAGCCACCAAGCCTGTTGACTCTGCCTTCATTATTATGTGCAACACCTGTTTCTTCATTTCATTCATATCATCAAGTAGCTCAGGGCTTTAGTAATTCTTAACTAATCTGCCTTCCTCTACTCTCTTTCTGATAATCCTATCCTGTAAACCAGTAACTGCTTAATCACATATAATAACATTTCCACCCCAAATTTTAAAGACCTATAACCTTTGAGTTCTTCATACTGAGACTAACTTGTATTTTTAATCACATATGATGCTCATCTATTAAAACTCTGAACCTCCACCAATTAATCTACATGTGACCTATCAGAGCATTTATTCCATTTCACATCTTGAACATTTTAACACCACACTCTGATTTGCTCCAGTGATATTCTCCATCATTATGTGGGTGGGAAGAAGATGTCTGCAATAGGTTGAATTATGTCTCCCTCGAAACTCATAAACTGAACTTCTAACCCCCAGTATTTCATAATATGACTATAGCTGGAGATAGGGCCTTTATAGAGGTAACTAATGTAAAATGTAGTCATAGGGGTGGGCTCTAATCCATATTACTGGTAAGAAATTATAACATAAAGCCTGGTCTCCAACTAAAACTTGATATTTTCAACCATGTTTTATATCTATAACTACGTATATTTAAAAATGTAATTTAGAAAATACTAATGCCATTTCCTTCTCGCAGTGTACCTGTAATTTTTCAATAATATTTCTATAATCCCAAGCAGGCCCTCCAAGAGCTTCCTTAAAGCGTGGTCCAGAGCGAGCTGACAGTCTCCACCCCATGGCTGCCCTCTGCACCATATTGGAATGGCTCTTCATGAAAAGAGTATTAACTTGACTGTCCAAATCCACTGGAATAGCAATTCCACGATTCTTTGCTGAAAAAGAAAGATTTAAAATATTTTCCTCTTAATTTGACTAAAGCTTCTTACGCATTATCAAAATAACCTCATAAACAGAGAACAGATAAAGAAAAAATGTAAGATACATAATAAGCTCTGGGAGGTAATATACGGAATGTGACTATACTTAACAATAATTGTATATTTGAAAGTTGCTAAAGAGCAGACCTTAAAAGTTTCATTATGCTAAGCGAAATAAGCCAGGGGGTGAAAGACATATTCCATATGATCTCACCTATAAGTGAAACCTAATCAACAAAACAAACAAGCAAGAAAAATATAGCTAGCAACACTGAAAGAAAAAAACAAACAGTTAAGAGAGGGGAGGTGCAAGGAGGGATAATGGGAAAAGAAGGGGAAAGGTCAAGTCAAGGAGCATGCATAAAGGACCCAGGGACTAAGACAAAGTGGGGAAGGATGGGGGGGAGGGGAGCAGGGGAAAGTGGTGGCGGGAAAATGGAGACAAATGTATTTAAACAATAAAAATAAATGTAAACGAACAGAAAGCTAAAAACAAGTTTTCATCAAAAAACATCTCTGTGTGATGTGACAAGTGTCAGCTAAAGTTATAATGGTTATTATTTTTCAATATATACTTAGAGCAAATCACCTTAATACAATGTTATAAGTTAATTATAATCTCAATGAAATTAGTTTAAAAAGAAAAAAGCATCAATCTTTAAACTCATCCATTAAATTATTTTATATAATTGCAAAAGCTTTTGACCTAAAATTATTTCAATTTTTAAGACCAATTATTACAGCAGGCTCATTAAATATTCAAGAACTTATTTGATTTCTTTATGATTAACGCTTGAATTGTACTTTATACAGCATCACTATAGAAAAAGACCTGTATAACAACCATGCAGATTTGTAGCTTCCCAGGTGTCAAGGAAAACAAGAAAGCAGACAGAAAACACAAGAAAATCCTGCCAGCCCATTCATTAATATAATTAGTGTATATTTATCCATGCAGACACAAGCACACACACACAATTTTAAGTGACAAAATACCTGAAAGAAATAAATTTTCAAAATGGAAGATTGTAAAAACTCTGCTTTGGAAAATGGCACACAGTGCATGTCCTACCTCCTCCAAATCAACTGGAATTTATAGTTTATCAGACTTACATGACAATATTAAAAATGAGAATGCTTGCCATGAGGAAACAGAAATATCGAGGCATTTTTGCAAGCAGAGTGATGGGATTAGTCCATTAGAGAAGCAAGAGAGGACGTTCAAGTTGGAACAGGTCTTCCGAGGGGAAAGCCAACCAACACTAAGAGCGGTGGTGCGCCTGGGCCAGCCATCAGGGCAACTTGCTGAAGAACAGAGGCTGGACAGCTGGGACTCGCAGGCCCTCCTCCCTCGGGCGGGCACACACAGCAGTCGGCAGCAGCGGGTTCTACTCCGAGGGTGCAGTTAGGAAACTAGAAATGTTCTCTCCAGAAAGTGGAGAACCTGCCTGGAGAGATTGCAGGTGTCAGGACTTGATAGAGAAGTGGAATAGAGGTTGAAGTTACTCCAAGGATCTTACAGAAATAAGCTACAGAATGCGAGAGACAAAAGAGGCAGCTCCAGAAAATAGATACAGAGGACTCCAGCCCCTGAGCAAAGTCCTGCTTATTTGAACACTTGTTAGGATTCCCAGCCTGTCTTCTGCTACACGTACATGTACACACACACATCCCCCAAAGGGAAGCCTGAATATCATTTACACAGCCCTCACTCTGGGTCAGCCCTGTTATTTATATGAGAATGTTAGTAAGGAAGTAGACCTTCCATTTCTGTCTTCTCTGCACTGGGAGCAGCAGCTCCCCTGCCACAGCCCCTCACCCCCTGAAAACATGTGCCTGCGCCAAGTTTGCCTCCAGCCCCCCTGGTCAGAGCACCTCTTGGCTGCTGAGCCAGCCCCTGCCTGCGGTGATGCTGCAGCGGCCAGAGACACTGACAGATGACAGCCTTAGCAGCTTGGCAGCCCCCTTGTCCCCGACCTCACTTACTTCTAGCTGCAGCTTTCAGACCAGCGCCAGCTGCAGGGGCGTGGGAACAGCAGCCAAGGTCATTGAGGCTGGGGCTGCCACAGAAGGGGTGGCTGGCTCCGGGGCTGGAACTGGGACTGTGTTTGGGAGCCTCACGTTGGCTATGCCAGGAACCATTCTCTGAGACCCTGCACATTCTGGGCTTCGCCCTCTCAGAGGCCACAGGGCTCTTTTGCCTGATGGTGGCCTTGCTCATCCGCATCGCCACGTGAAGCCACCATCGCCACCTCCTATGGTTCTTTCTCTTGCACCTCGTCTGCCTTGTCTGTCCCTTTTCCTACACCTGCCCAGGCAGCCTAGGGAAAGTGGGTGGCTCAGGGTTTGACTGAGGGAAGACAAGTAAATGCTGTATTGAGAGACAGAGACAAAGAGAGAGAGAGAGAGAGAGAGAAGAGGAAGGGAGGGAACAGATCTTCAAAACTGCAGCATAAACCTACGCCAGTCATTACAAACCTTTATAACTACCAACATACTACCAAGAACCGCAGGGGAAACCAAGGGTATTAAGAGTAACTGGCCCTGGCAAAAACAGACATAATTCAGGGAAGAGCACAATACTAATTACTGTCCTCAAAGACTTTGAGGTATACTGCATCTAAACAATTAGAAAATCAGAAAAAAGAAAGATATCTTGGGAATTAAATTATGATTGCAGAAATAAACATTTCAGAAATTGGCTGAAAAAGAAAAGAATAGGAACCAGCACCAAGGTGATAATCTTGGAAAGTCAGGGAATCCTCTGGAACATGAAGCATAAAAGATCAAAAGGGAAAATAAAACCATGAGAATATGAAAAGGGGAGAATAAATACAGGCAGTGAAATATCTAACAAATATAAGTTTTAGAAAGAAATATCAGAGACAACAGAAGGGAAGACATTATTAAGAAAATAATAAAAAGACAATTTTTCTTGAGCTGAAGAGAGATGTAAATCTTCGCATTGAAAGAGCCTACTGCATATTATTAAACAGGATTGAATAAGCAAATTGGCTATATTCTGGTAAAAATTTACAATGCTGTTATGGGTTGAATTGTTCGCCCCCCAGAAGATATATATACACATATATGTTGATGTCCCATTCACTGGTACCTGTGAATATGACCTTATATGGAAACAAGGTCTTTGCTGATGCAATCAAGGTAAGTCAAGGTCACACTAAATTAGGGCAGATCCCTAATCCAATACAACTGGTGACTACACAGGAAGGAAAGGAGAGAAACAGAGACGCACACAAAGGGGAAAACGCCATGTGAAGATGGAGGCAAAGATTAGATTTGTGCAGCTGCCAGCTAAGAAATGCCAATAAACATCAGAAACCAAGAGAAAGGCATGAACAGATTCATCACTAGAGTCTTTAGAGAGCCTGGTGCTGCTGACACCTTGGTTTCAGACATTTAGCGCCCTGAACTGAGAGACAATAAATTTCTGTTGTTTTAATCCTTCCAGTTATGGTGATTTGTTACGACAGCCCTACACAACTAATATAAGGGCCAACAGCAAAGAGAAAACTGCAAAAATGTCCAGAGAGAAAAGAGGAGTCCCACAAAAAAATCAGAGTAGCACCAGACTTCCCATCATCAGTACTGAATGCTAGAAGTCAGTAGAAAAGTGGCTTTAAACACCAGATAGACAAAGATTTTGAAGCTAGGAATATAGCTCATCTAAACTAAAAATCAAATGTGATACCTGAATAAAAACAGTTCAGAACATACATGCTAGGCTCGGAAATTTTTCTCTGAAAACTTCTCCCTCCAAAAGACAAGAAAGTCATCCAAGCAAATGTCTATGTGATTTCAAGAAAGCACAGCCAACTGAGTATAGATATGAAGAAAAGAGTAAAACTAGAAACTAATGAAAGATCTGTTAGACACTAATGGTTGGGAAACTCTCAGTTAGAAAAGTCTCAATATTGTAGCGCTGTATTTCTGTCTCTAATATTCATACCATGACAAATATTTATACATGATAATATTATAAAGCTCTGAAAACTTATTTCTAAACTATATCAACCATAAGATATTTAATTATAGTTTAGAATAGAATGCAATGTCACAATTATAACATAAAACCTACAATCTATCAAGCAACAATTAGAGCATAAATGAAGGCAGTATTTTAATTTCTTTATTTTTCATAGTGTCAAGCATGTAGACATTATGTAGAGCTGGATGTCAAGAGACAGATATATAAGTAAACTCTTTCAAGTTATAATGATACTCACTGAAGGATGTTTTGTAAATAAATGAAAATAGGAAGGAAAGAATGGGGGGAGAGGAGGAGAATCAATGAATAAATCTGGCTTGTTTCATATAATGAAAGGAAAGCAACAATAGTAGCCAGTATTGAAGCTGAAAGACACTTAAAAACTTCTTTGAAAACAATTAATTTTAACTACCACCCAAAAAGTCACCTATTTAAACAAGAGCTCAGGCTGAAGTTTTGTGGCAAGGATAACACCTCTAAGACAACCCTCAACAATCAATGGCGCCACTGCCCAGGTTTCCCTGGAGAATGTTTTCCCCCGGTTCATTACACATTTCCCTTGTCCACAGGATACAGTGTCTCTTACGGCCATCACTCGCAGCAGAGCATCTGCACTCCTGTCCCATCTGAGGGGCAGATGCTGCCAAGGTGCACATTTTTTTGTAAATACTTAATCCTGTACCACGATCAAATGTTGGCAAGACTCTCATTCCTTTCTGGCTGCTTCACACATAAGGGGGTTTGATCCAAACATTTACAAGTCGAAGGACAATACTGCTTATATGCTATTTTCTAAGCAACAAAAACTATAAACCTTCATATTGCTCAAAACACATTACAACCAGTTTCCACTACCATTTAAACAAACGAGGTAGGGGGACTGGGATTTATATTCCCTGTAGGAATCAGTTACCTTAGATACAACTAACCATCGAATAAGTGCTGT